CTAATCAACAATCACATTAATTGTGTTGTGAATTACTTGAACTCGAAAATTTAAAATTTGTTGAAGATCGTTAAAAACAAGATTGTTTTGTATTAATCAAGGCGATACATTTATAATAATTCTCGTATCGGTAAGTACTTTGTTACAATTTACAGTATTTCCTGCGAAACAGTACAAAATTGTGAAAAATCTGTTCCAAACCTGCTGGTTTGCACAGATCCAGGCCATTCGTTCCACACGTACAATAAAATTCGATAGCTTAAAAACAGCTAGTTCGAGGAAAATATTTCACAAATTCAAGTTCGTTATTTGGAAAACGTTTCACCCGAATGTCTGAGTCGTACGGCAGCACACCCCATGCATCAGCAGCATACCCGACCAAAACTACGAATCTATCATTCGAAAAATCTCTTTCGCACGCTCCGAAGCGTTTCTTTAAAAATGGCTGTCGATCAAGGTTTGCGTTCTCGTTTAGTAAAAACCCCGAAAAAAAAGAAAGGATTCATTGAAAGGAGACACGAGATAGAGGGAGAGAGAGAGAGAGAGAAAGAGAGGTAAAAAAGAGAGAGAAAGAGAGAAAAAAAGGACGATCTTAATCAATACACGAACCGTTTCCTTACACGCCTACGGTTTGCATTCACGCAGCGCTTCTAGGCTAGGTACCAGAAAATACGGTCAGCTCTGAAATGGTGAAGGAATGCCGGGTTCCCCTTCTCCATGCTGATGCTGGTTCCACTCCTGCCCCCGGCCCTCCGTAAATCGCGTAGAGGTGGAATCCCCACCTCATAGGCAGAAGCACCTGTTGCGCAGCTACCTGTTTTACTCGATCCATGGGTCCGTTCTCTATCTCTCTCCTTCTCTATCCCCCACCCTCGGGGATAGATCGGTCTCTCTCCCTCTCCGCCAGATTCTCTTGGTCTCCGTCTCGCCCGGTTGCTCTCTGTCTCTCGTTCTCTTTCTTTTTCTCTCTGTCTCTCAGTATCGTGTACGGTGTCACGGCAGTAGGACGGTCTCCAATCGTGGTGGTGATTCTTCGGGTAAAGGGCAACGACTCGTCAGGTGAAAATAAATGTCTCCTTATGCACATCGCGCGGAGCCGCGGTGAACAGTTGCGGCCCGTAGTCTCCGCGACGGGTTCACCACGGGGAAATTCCTGACGCCGCGCGCGCGGGGAAACGCGAGTAACGGCCGCGGCTCGAGACGGGAGACGCGCGACAAGCGACGCGCACCGACCGCCAACTTGGAAATGCATCGGACAAGAAGAGTTTAAAGAAGAAAGGAGCAATGGAGGACGAGCCACGGGATACCTGTTTCGGGGCAGGAAGCGTGGCAGGGGCTGTGATCGGTACATTTCTCACGACGATACTGCTGCTGGTCGTCGCCGCGCTTCTTTACAGACAGTGGCGCAGGCACAAAGGTGAGTCGGCCACCCGATTTCGTTTTGCCCGAGCTCTCACCCCTGCCGAATTTCGAAATCGCTGCACCGCGACCGGCTACGGCGCCGACGACGACGACGACGGCGACAGCGACGTCAACTGCAACAGCGACGGCAGCGGAAACGCCGCGGTTCTGCGGCCCCGCGAGCCCTCGGCTCCCGAAGTCGCAGGCCGCGACACAGGGTCCTGCTCTCTCGCTGACAGATCTCAGGCGCGGCTAGGCTACGCGGCCAGCAGCGTTCGGGGATCCTGCGTGTCCGCTGGAGCGCGCTCTATTTGCCCGGTGGAAATTATCGCGGCAACGTTGCTCGACTGGTTCGGTCGGCTCATTCGTGGAATAAATGCTATTTTATCATAGAGGACAACGTGATTCGCGCCGTGCTCACCTATACTTGCCTATGCGTGTCGACGGGAAGAGGCGTATACAAGGTCCGATGGAATTTCTTGCGCAACAAAGTGGAATTTATTGCCACCCGTTCCCTGGAGCCGCCGATATGCTCCGAACGCACGCGAGAGAAACCTTTCGAACAACGCACCGAGGCACCTCCGACAGCCTTTTTTCCCCTGGCAACTTTTCTGTCGACCAACGTTTTCGGTTCGTCACGGGCCGGTAGACACGTAGGCATCGGCGGGTATAATTATGCAAAGAATTCGCTTGCGCATAACATCCTGTAGATCACGATGGGACGGTACCGTCGGGAATGCGCGGCATGGAACCAGCCGGAGACTCGAACGATTCACGAGTCGAGAACGATCCGCGCACGGGGCGGCCGATCTATCGAACGGACCCGATTCTCGCCAGAATCGATGCCGGTCGAATTCGAAATCGTTACGTGCGCAGAACGAACGTGTATCAGCGCGTAAAACGACGGCGCAGCGCGGCGCGGCGCGTTCGTTACGGTGCACGCACGATCGTTTACGCTGTTGCGACGCAATTGATGCTTATGTCCACGCAAAAGGCAGGACCTTGGAGTGCCACCGGAGAGATACGATGGTACACGAAAGTCTCCAGCTTCGGTGCACATTGGAATCTCTCTGTATGTAGTCGTCGAACGGTGTTTACGGCCTACCACGGTAAAAACGTTTCTTCACGGAAAATGCATTCCGTGTCGTGGTCGTCGTGGATCGCTCGCCGGAGTGATACCAGTTATCGTGGCGTTGTTTTAGTGGAATGCGACGCGCGTAGAACGCCGAATACATACGGTGTGACGCGCGTTCGCTCCGATGCGATGGAGCCGGAGAAACCTCGGAATCGTTTCGATCCCGAGATCATCGTTCGACTGGTTCCCCTCGAATATGCAAATTCCCCGTAACGATACAGAATTCGGAGAGCACGAGTTTCATTTCCTGCTCCCTAGGAACCAAGTCGCGGAGAATGTCATAGTGAATGTTTTCGAGTACTGGCGAAACCACGTCTCTTTCACTGTCCAATCGTTAACAGCTTCGACCATAAGATGCTTCATTTTTTATCGTCTGCGAAACGCCAAACGAGTTTCGTCGAAATAGAAAAACCTGAGAATGCTTCCCGAGATATTTGCGAGAACGATTCGCTGGCTTACATTTTTAGACGAACGAATTTACATTGTCGCCGAATTTTGGAAATGCCGATAATCGTTCGTTCTACCTATCTGTATCATGATTAGTATATTATTATTATATTAGTATATAAAGAGGTCACAATAACTTCCACGTTTACGTTTCCAGAATTGTTCGTGTATAAATACGGAAAATAGAATTGCATGCATTGGAGGAAACATAAAAAAAACATTTGAAATTTCCTAAGGAAGAATTTCTTAGGTGCGTGATATGTTATTGGATTAAACTGTTATTCGATTAAGTAAGCAGAAAAACAGCTGAAAACAATAACATCGTGTAATTATATCCATTGTAAACGATGCTACCCGGCGTATCGAGTTACCGCACACCGGATAAATGACTNTGGAATTTATTGCCACCCGTTCCCTGGAGCCGCCGATATGCTCCGAACGCACGCGAGAGAAACCTTTCGAACAACGCACCGAGGCACCTCCGACAGCCTTTTTTCCCCTGGCAACTTTTCTGTCGACCAACGTTTTCGGTTCGTCACGGGCCGGTAGACACGTAGGCATCGGCGGGTATAATTATGCAAAGAATTCGCTTGCGCATAACATCCTGTAGATCACGATGGGACGGTACCGTCGGGAATGCGCGGCATGGAACCAGCCGGAGACTCGAACGATTCACGAGTCGAGAACGATCCGCGCACGGGGCGGCCGATCTATCGAACGGACCCGATTCTCGCCAGAATCGATGCCGGTCGAATTCGAAATCGTTACGTGCGCAGAACGAACGTGTATCAGCGCGTAAAACGACGGCGCAGCGCGGCGCGGCGCGTTCGTTACGGTGCACGCACGATCGTTTACGCTGTTGCGACGCAATTGATGCTTATGTCCACGCAAAAGGCAGGACCTTGGAGTGCCACCGGAGAGATACGATGGTACACGAAAGTCTCCAGCTTCGGTGCACATTGGAATCTCTCTGTATGTAGTCGTCGAACGGTGTTTACGGCCTACCACGGTAAAAACGTTTCTTCACGGAAAATGCATTCCGTGTCGTGGTCGTCGTGGATCGCTCGCCGGAGTGATACCAGTTATCGTGGCGTTGTTTTAGTGGAATGCGACGCGCGTAGAACGCCGAATACATACGGTGTGACGCGCGTTCGCTCCGATGCGATGGAGCCGGAGAAACCTCGGAATCGTTTCGATCCCGAGATCATCGTTCGACTGGTTCCCCTCGAATATGCAAATTCCCCGTAACGATACAGAATTCGGAGAGCACGAGTTTCATTTCCTGCTCCCTAGGAACCAAGTCGCGGAGAATGTCATAGTGAATGTTTTCGAGTACTGGCGAAACCACGTCTCTTTCACTGTCCAATCGTTAACAGCTTCGACCATAAGATGCTTCATTTTTTATCGTCTGCGAAACGCCAAACGAGTTTCGTCGAAATAGAAAAACCTGAGAATGCTTCCCGAGATATTTGCGAGAACGATTCGCTGGCTTACATTTTTAGACGAACGAATTTACATTGTCGCCGAATTTTGGAAATGCCGATAATCGTTCGTTCTACCTATCTGTATCATGATTAGTATATTATTATTATATTAGTATATAAAGAGGTCACAATAACTTCCACGTTTACGTTTCCAGAATTGTTCGTGTATAAATACGGAAAATAGAATTGCATGCATTGGAGGAAACATAAAAAAAACATTTGAAATTTCCTAAGGAAGAATTTCTTAGGTGCGTGATATGTTATTGGATTAAACTGTTATTCGATTAAGTAAGCAGAAAAACAGCTGAAAACAATAACATCGTGTAATTATATCCATTGTAAACGATGCTACCCGGCGTATCGAGTTACCGCACACCGGATAAATGACTCTCTCTCTCTCTCTCTCTCTCTCTCTCTCTCTCTCTCTCTTAAGATAATCAGAGACTCCAATAATAGAGATTTTATTACAATTAAAAACATTTCATTCAGGCTGAAAACAGTTCGATAATATCTTCGTTATCGGTGCGTTAGCAGTTCGTAATCTTTTGCATTAAGTAAAGAAGTCACGCGCTGCTGTGCCAAATAATTTACGTTTTAGGAAAGATATTGCGCAAAATACACGTCTTGGAGAACACATTACGCAAAATATACGTTTCAGTAAACGCATTTTACGTAGAAAGTATTTTATACAATTTGTTAGTCTATGTTTAGCGACAATTCAGCTACTAAAACGCTTCGCTTCGTATAAACAAAATCATTTGGTTGTTTACACATTGAAATCTGTACTAATGAATGAATAATGAACAATATGTAGCAAAGGCAATATTAAAGAAGTTATAAGCCACAGAATCGTATTTTACAGTGACACGGGAGTCTTGTGAATGAAAAACATAAAATACCGGTCGTCTCAAGGTTGTTTGTGTATTTTCTACAAAAAATTCAGTCCACTGAGTCATGTGTCGTTATCAGGAGGAGGCACTTAACTATTATTAGTTTGCACGGGCGATACATTATAACAACAAAACAGTTGAAACGAATGCGTACTCGAATGTAAAGATTACGCGATGATTAATAGAGATCTAGTGATATTGACCTCTAACGAAAAAATCAATTTATAGTGCTCTTCAAAAAAGAATTCTATAGCAGACTCGGATAATATAAATCCATTGAGGTCGATAGACATCGAATTGAGAAAAAAAAAATTCGTATGTAGAAAAATTAACACCTTAAAATACTATAAGAGAAAGATATTTCTTATTGCTACGTTGAAACCAGTTGCTCCGTGTTCATAACATTCTTTTCAATTTCTAAATTATTCGAATCGCGAAATATCGCGCAAACATTTAGATTAACGAAGCAGAAGGTTACTACTAACTGAAGCACATACCTTTCAGGCAAGCGCATTTTTTAACATCAATTAGTTCAAGTCTAGTGCCTTTTTAAAATGCATCGAAGAAATGCTTTATCGAATTCTTTAAATGCATATCAGTGGGTACTGTTAAACACGTCTCGTTCTATCGTTTCCAAATATGACTCACAAGTGGATTGCGGATCTTTATGCAAAATAAGGATCGTATATACCAATTGCAAGAAGCAGTAATCAGTTAAGAACAATCTATCGGCTTGTTCTTAAATTTCTCGAATCTTTCTACTGTTCTGCATTTGTTGTACTAATTTTTTTTTTTCGCAAATGCAAACAATCTACTATAAGATAACGTAGAATTTTCGCGGTATTCTCAGAACTCGAAATTTTAAATGAAAGCGTAATCTTCATTATACGTTGACCGTCCGATATTAATAACAACAAAATGCACACAAAGAACCGATTAGAATAATGTACTGTTAGAATGTGCACTTTGGAAGCGCCACAATGGAATGCTTAATTCTTGATACGTGCATACGTGTATGCTGCGTGCATCACCTTGCTAAACGTACTAAATAAGTATAAATCTGCTCGATGATATCACCGTTTACGATGACATAAACTACATAATAACGAAACCGATGGGCCGTAAGCAACGTTCTCTCTCCTCGAAGCATTTTTGAAGTCTCCGAAACTTTCCTAAACGGTGTTGCGTAAGTTTTCTACGCTGATTACACGTGCGTTTTCTTCTAAAATCTAGTATCTACAAATCGCGTAGAAGTGAACCGAAAGTGTCGTGGCAATCGTGTACAAGTATCTTGATATCATTCGCTCGAGACACACCTAACTCTCGGCAGTTCTCCTGCCATAGTGGAACTCCACTTTCTTGCCGCTTATTAAGGCTCATCTGCATATGAAAAATGGCCATAAATGAGCTCAAGTAAGCGGAATCGAATAGCTCGAGCACTGTTCAGTACGAGGGAGCCAAAAACAATTTGAGAAACGTCGGCAGAACTTACTAAAATATTGTTCGTTACTAGCCCATTGTCAATTATCGGAGCCCGATTTCGAGAGATTTGATGAGAAACGAATCTTGAATCAGATGTTGGCAATCGCGGCATCATTTTACGATAATAATTCATAGACGGTTTTGTCCATAAATATAGACAGATCAGTGGTTCGTGGAAAAAGCTATTTGCTACGCGTTTGCATAAGTCGCATGTTTTCACAAATTTACACATTTCTTATTTCACGAGATATCTACTATAATAATCACATACGGTCATTACGTTCTAGCAGTATTTGTCTCATTAGCAAATACACACTATAAACATGATGACCTATTAACCCACATAAAATCGTTGTGCCACATATGATCGGACGTTATTCTTAAAATAATAATGCATTGTACCTAACACATTTTTAGGTATTTTCGTACCTTGTACCCTATTCAAAAAAGTTACCCAACGTTTTTAATTTAGAAATAACAATTCCATTATCGTGTGCAACACTCTAAGACATTTGAAATTCCGCTCAGCTTTATTTTATACGCTTTCTTAACAAATTTCTTGTTAAAAAATTCATATTGTATTGTCAAATAGGTGATACACGAAGTTATAATTTAATAAAGAATGAAATGTTAAACATGAAAATGACAATAGTCATTAATTCCAGTAATTTTTATTAACCATTCTTTGTTACCTACATTATTCAGCTGAAAACTTTTAAACGTACTTCAACCATAAGTAGTAAAAATTGGATAAAAATGTAGTAAAAATTGTAAGAGAGACAGAGACGATAGAAATTAAGACAATAGAAAAATTCACAGTCTAAGGATCTTTCTAGCGAGTTCAAGTAGAAAATAAATGCTTAACAAAAATTTGTTCAGGGAAACATCTGGTACTCGTAACGGACCCAGAGATCGTTGAAGAAGCCTATGCCTTCGACAATCCGTGTTTCAAGGATGTCACCGTGTCGACGGCTAATCGAACTCGAGAAGGCGTGGTATCTATGGCATCCGGCGGCGACACTCCAGGTAAAGATTCTGTACGATGGTCTACATCTTGGACGTCCTTGGGTCTAGGATCAACTAATCGCAACGATAAGCGAAAACCTCTCGACGATTCTTATGTCGGCGTAAGTACTTTTCTTGTCCCATTCTTCGATTCAGTCAAGCGACAAGCTTTTTTCAAACAGATTTCCGGCATTTATGCGCCAACCATTCGCCGCATAAAAATTCGTACAACCTGTTAATAATATTTTTAGAAATATTTTTCCTTATGCCGCAATGGTTACTCGTAAAACAAGTTATTTAAATATTTGAATGACTATGGAGAACAAGAATAAGATCGAAATACGCGGAAACATATTTAAACGGTTGTAAAAATGAGAATTTCCCACCTATTCGTGTAATGCTTTTAATGATGGAATTCTCAATGGCGAAAACAAAATATTCATAAGGAATATCGTTTTTTAATATTTATACAAAACTTTATTTTAGTTAATATTTGATACAGATTAATTTCACAATTAACGCACTAAATATTGATAAATCTAGTTGGAAAATATGTGTAATGATAAATCACATTAACGAACAAGGTGACGATATTTATTTGATCTAAAAGAAAATACTTACGTAGCCCTCTGATATAAGTTCATATGTTTATTGTTTTAGATCTCAATTTTTATAGATATCACTAATGCAATCTTACAGTGATTTTCAACAAACTTTTAATCATTTTAACAGATGTCTCAACAAACATACTTACTTGCAATTTAGTCACGAGGTTTAAAAAGTTTGGTAGAATGGGATGGTAAATACGTTAATAATATATTGAAAATGATAGAAAATTTCCTTACGCAACATTTCGGTTTTGTAAACGCTGAATTGAAAGTTTGCCGCATCTGCGACGTACTGAATAAGAATCTATTAGTGTGTCTGTTCATTACTCGCTGTTTCTACTTACTGTAAGCACGATCGCACGAGAATGAGATAAATACATTCCGTGTCGATTTTCCCGGCAACAAACCGGTATACGAACAAAATTTATTCGTCGTGCATTTTCTGTCGTGACTTGACAAAAGGACACACAAATCTACCCCGCTTAGAATGTTCAATAAAGTTATTCATAGAATATGCAAGATATATATATATATATATATAATTGTGCAACCGTGAATAATTTATTTATTTAATCGCAAATAATAAAACGAAATCTTTCGAGATTCCTTTCGCAAGAAAAGTAGCTACTATTCCAACCACAGAAAAGTAAAAGACATATAGAAGCAAACAGTTTTTCTTTACAATAATAATAATTATAATAATACAGAAAACGTATACTCCATTTTCAATTAAATGTGCTCCTTAATTGTTCAAATGAATCATTCATTAAAAACGTCATTTCCATAAAATAGTTCGCGAAGATCTAAATTTGAAACAGACAATGAAAAGTTGTTGTTAAACAGAAATGATCGTGGCTTCGTAATACACACAAAGGAGAACTTTATTTCGATATTCCAAACGCACTAACAAGTATTTGGCATGACCAAATTTGGCAGTGCGTACAGTTAATCTAGCTATGGCCGATACGTGCCTCCTCTGCGTTTCTCGGCGAAGAGGAAGTCCGTTGCGTATAAGTTGAATTACAATGTTATCGTCCATTATTTTCAATTACGAATGTGACTACGGTTTTAATTACCCTTCGCATGCTACATGAATAATCTTAATCGCGGCAACAACAAAATTCTATTGTTTCTACACACTTTTATTTCTGTTTGTTATACGATTTAAATCAAAATTTCAGGAAAGAATATAATATTCAGAAAAGAACACTGCTTCGCCAATATTTACCTCATTCCTAGCGAAGTTTTTAAAAGATGATACACATTTTTAAAAGAAGCATACGTTTTTAATTATTTCCATAAATGTTGTGCAAACTAAATTAGGGAAATATTAAATTGTTATTTATAAAACATAATTTTCTTTTTCGCAGCCTAAAGCCACCAAGGTCAGTGTAGTCAGCTTGAAGAGCCGGGACTTCACAGGACTTGGATTTAATATTTGCGGCAACATGAGGGAGGGTATTTTTGTTAAAGACCTCCTACACCGTGGGCCTGCATCAGAATCTGGTCGAATACACCCTGGTTAGTAATTTTCTATAAGTGTCGTAGACCTCTCTTTACACCAGCTAGACCCCAGATCGTGGTAAAATCTACTGTTATTTTGATGTTAAAAAGTAACATACAGTAAGTACAAAAAGCATCTTTTTATTCACTTGAGTTCTAAAAATACCAAAGTTATTAAAGAACAGTGTCTTTCAAATTCTTTGTACTATTTTATTGCTTTGCATTTGATCTACTCATTTTTGTCGTAAATGCATAAAATCTGCAGTCCATTGATCACAATTGTTTCAAGCTCAGCAGCGAATGGTTCATTAGTGTTGATAAAAATGATATAACCAAGAGACATGATTATTAATACCGACAACATAGAACATAAACAATTTCTTGATCTTATTGTTATTATCGTTATTACTATATTACTGTATTATTATTTCCATTATTGTTGCTATTTTATACTGTTACTCAGCCCCCTATTACTAATATTATCGTTAATAACGCTATTGGAACATTCTCTGTGATAATTTCTATTATTATTGAAGTATTAAAGGTCTTTTATTGTAAAAAGTCCACGTATTCTTTTATTATCGACGACTTTAATAACACTAAACGTTGCCTTGCAGACGTTTTTGCTAAGACTCGCGAGACCTAAAAACGATTTTATCGACAGCCTCGGCTTGCTTAGTATGTAATGAAATAGCAACAATAATTTCCAGTACTTGTTTTTACCACAAGGTGAGGATAATTAATTCTAGCGTTTAAGATAATCTGTGTCCAGTCGCATTCAATCGCAAAATAAAACAACTCAAGTTAGACGGCAACTGAGAGCTGATCGAGTATTGTATATGATTCCAGGGGATCGCATCGTCAGTGTAAAAATTAGTTTCCGAAGCATGGTGTACGAGGACGCCCTAACGATCCTAAGTTACGCCTCGCCGTACGACGTGAAACTCGAAGTCGAAAGCGGTGGCACTGGATCGAAGCCGACCACGTTGCTGAAGAAAACCGTCGGCCCTAGTGGAGCCAGGATCTGCCATCCTTTGTACAGAAGCCAATCGATTCCGGAGCTCTCGCAGTCGAAATGCGTCGCGAAAAGGCTGTTCATCGTCGATCCGAACGAGTCGGTGAACTCGAGTTACTCGACGATGAACTCGACGTTGAAGTCGACGAAATCGACGCCGATCAACCAGTACGAAAAACGTCAGGACGAGGCGAAGAGCAATCACCAAAAATTCGGCATCAAAGTTCTGCCGGCGCTGGACGGCACGGTCCACCGTATCGAGAATCAGAACGAGCACAACACGAATCTCGAGAGAAGGAACTCGAAGAAGCTGGACACGGAGAAGCACCTGTCGAACACGGGCAAAGGTTTTCACGTTGGCGACAAGAAGGAGGAAGCTCAGCGTCAACAGAACGCCCAGGCGTTAAGTACACCGAAGGCGAGGACCGAGGTCTCCGAGAACCACGGCGCGGACATGTCGTCGAAGGATGAGAGGGACGGAGACACGACGATTCACATTCCCTCGGAAGTGCCCGCGGAAGTGCATAACGCAGCCATAGCCGCTCGCAGAAACCGGAAAAATAGCTCGGAGCTATTGAGTCCGCAGAAGAACGTTGAGACCGTTGAAACGGACGACCAGAAGAATGTACAGAAGAACAAAAGAAAAGCGCCGCAGCCGCCGAAGGGCAACAGCCACGAAACTGAGCAAGCGTCTCCCGCGAAGAAGGACGCCGCGACAAAGGGGCACGAATCGAGGAAAGAGGACGAGATCAACAGTATCACCGATTACGCGGAGTCCCTGACCGATTACGTGAAAAAAGTGCGCGACGACACGGAGAAGCCGAATTCGCGAGGGGACCAGAAGATGGAAGGTCTAATGATCGACGCCAGACATTCGGAGTCCGACACCGACAGCGAAATACAAAACAACTTCACGACCATCGAGCTGAACTCGGCCGACATCACCATCCACCGGACACCGATACCGGAGACGAACGACGACGACGACGAGGATGACGTTTACAGGAAAGCTGCGAGCTTGGGCGACCTGTCGAAGTACGAGTGCAGAACGTCGGCGACCTTGGAGAGGGCTCAGAGCTTGGACATGACGGACACCGGCACGAAGAAACGCAAGGCGCCACTTCCGCCGGAGGATATTAACGAGTCCACCGAGGACTTGACCAAGCTCGATCAGATGGACACATTCGACAGGCGACTGCTGAAGAAGTCGAGCGAGTGGGGCAACCTGGAAGACGTGGTGTGGCGCAAGAAACACGATCACGACGACAGGCCGAAAAAACTGAGGACCATGAAGACTGGCAGCGATTCTTTGGAACGGTCAAAGTCCGCTATAGAGATCAAGCTGAAGGACGACAGCGTTGCGCTGAAGGAAGAAGCTGCAGGAGACGATGAAACCAGCATCGAGCTGTTCAATCTACCTCTAAGCAAGAGACTCACGGAAGAATTTATTCACGCGGAGCGAATGTTCAATCCTGACGAGGATAACTCGTTGGCTAGAATCGTCAATGACGGCACCGTCGTCAAAAGTCCGACTCCGGACGAGATGGAGCGGAAGTTCATAGAAGGAACATCGTTGCCCGACGATTTCACCGAAGACGCTGCGGCTATGGAGGATTCCTCGGACGAAGAGGAAAAACCGGTGAACAAGGACTTCGCTAAAGCCTTGAAACACTTCGAAGCGTATGCGGAGAAGTCGCCGAGCTTCTCGGAGTCCTCGAAGTTCGACCCGTTCCGCTTCAAGAGCTGGAAGGACGACGGTTCGCTATCGGACGGCAACGAGCCGATTTCTTACGCGGGGAAGAAGGAGGTCGAAGAGGAGCCGGCGACAAAGGTAACCGTGAAGAGAGGCTGTCACGTGTGCTCGGACAACTGCAACCGCCACGAAGCGTGCAAGAAGAGAGCGTTCTCCTCGAAACGGTCGTCCACGCCGATACCCTTGCAAGAGTACTCGACGAACTCGGCCGAAGGCAATGGCGCCGATTCGATGACGATCCAGGACGAAGAGGTATCGAACTCTATACCGCATCCGCACGGTGCGACGCTAAAGCACAGAGAGAACGTCAGCGAAACATCGTCAATCGACTTCACTTTGCCGACGAAACGCGTAATCGAAGTCCCGACTAGTCAAAGGATCGAGCGAGAGAACGACGAGGACGAGGATGGTTACGAGTTCGGATCCGGTGTGACCGTGAGCAGCAAGAACTTGTTCGACCGCGACTACCGACGCAACATTAACAATATCAGTGTTTCCAGTGGTGAGAACAGTGAGGACAGCGGCCTGGTCGGTGAGTCGATGGACTACAATCCGCAGGACTTCGACAACCGGCCGTCCCTGCCGAACACGCCGATGCCGCAGAAGATGACGTACATCACGGAGATCAAGCTCTCGCCGAATAGGGAGAAGCTCCAAGGCGACGTCGAGGAGAACAGTGACACGCTTTGTATTATGGGCGGGAAAGAGAGGAGACCGGGCCAGAACGAAATCAAAACGACGTCGAACGGGAAGACCTCGAACAAGAAGCCCCCGGTTCCTCCTAGAAGAACGGACATGGCCAAGACGAATAAAAAGGGGAACGCCGAGAAGCAGGTGATCTATGTGTCCGAGTACAAGCCCAGCGAATCGAAGACCGCCGACGACTCGGACTCGAATCAGGAGCTGAAGCAGTCGGACTCTGCTGCGAAGAAGCTGGAGCAATGGACGTTTTTAGAGGACAAAGAACAAAATCGATGAAGATCAACCAGTGAGTCTAAGGATCGGGATTGTTGCTCGGTTGTTGAGAGACGTAACAGTTGTTCGACAATAACATTCTAATGTACAAGTCTTTTTTAATTTTGTCTTTAATATCGAGATGACATTGAACGCGTTTATAAGCTGGATGTTCATGGCTTCAGCGCAGATTGTTATCGTCTTACCATTGGAAATGTTTGGCAGATAGTACGATCAGCAACAGGAATTTATATAACGTGAACATGAGGAACAATTCTGGTATATACTGTACTCAGCCTTTATCGCACGGCCGAATCAGATGTCGATCGTTATTATTATACGTACATGTTACATGTATTGTGCTCATCCTAAATAGATCTGCTCTTGAACTAGTCGAAAAAAAATTTCTTTCTTTATTTAGTATCTTCTTCGCGATTCCCCGAAAAGACTGGCTCTTGTTTAAAAATGTGTGTTTTTTTTTGATGTTTTGATAAAAGCGTTTATCGTTGTAATTAAATTGTATTTATTTCTCGACGTGTTTCTCTTGTTTCTTTTTTGTTTAAAAAAAAAATATCGTAATTAGAGTTTGTATTATACGGAAATTTTCATGCTTGTAAGGTAGTGCAGTATTATGTGGCGTCACGTGTGCTGTTTATCGCATATGTATGCAGAGTTAACGTGTACCCTGCTCTTACATGTAGATTTGTATTGTACCGCTTTTTAGACCCGATGCTAGGAATTCCAATTATGTATATTGGTACAAGGATTAGTAAGTACACATGTTATCACTAGACCTCGGATCTTCATGCACTCATGGCATACACAGATTTTTCAAATGCAAGAAAACGTGCAAGTTAACAAGGTCCAATAGCCTTTCGATTTTCTTTTTGTAATCGTTTTGATGACGACGGAAGCATTTCTTCAATTCGAATATTTGTAAATTAAATCAATTCGAGATTTTGCGTAAAGATCCGCAGTCTAATCACCGTATTACTTGATTCGATTTTTTCGACGAAATTGTGTATAATCAAATTCTTTGTAATCTCCTCTGTAAAATACTCTTTTTTTATCGAGAAGTACTAAACGACTTCATTACGAAACAAATAAAGTGGTGACTAGACTGCGGATTTTCTATACTTCGGACAAAAATTGGTATACCAAATGCAAAACATTGAAAGAATTTCAAAATACTATTATATTATTTTCAACTCGAAGAAATAAATGTCTATGTAGCTTCTGTATTTTACAAATAATGCAGGCAATGCTTATTTTGCATAGGAATCCGCAGTCTAGCGATGACTTAAATCCCGTTCCTCAATTTTCCTCGTCGAAAATAACATCGGGTCTCAAAAGTAATTGCTTTGAGTTCTTTGCAACGTGTTATTAACCTGTATTTGTTTTTTGTTTATATGCTCGGAGTACCAGTTACACGTAAATATACATATATATAAAGGAGGTACGTGTTGCGGCATAGGATATGTAAGATATGTCCCAAAAATATCATATATTCGATTAACGACGCGTTTAGGTAAGGAAATAACGATTGTTGACAGTTTTATATATAGTGTATGTGTTTTACATGGTTGCAATATTATTGTGTGCTATTATTTAGTCATAGTCGGTCAAATTTCAAACACGAGAAACTCTCGAATTCATTTACTTTATTTTATCTTGTTACTGAAAGAGTTAAATTTTATAAAGCCTTGAACTTCTTAAACGTGTAATAGGACTTTTTATTAACTAAGTTCTTTTTATTTCTATTATGGTCGTGTTAAACAATAAGTGGACAACGATAAAACCGGCACATAATGTTGTGTAGATATAAAATTGTGTAGTGATTTTATTGTGGTCGTAACTACAGGTTGACATGATCATGGAATTGTAACATTTTCAAAACTATTTGATGACAAAAATGAGCAATATCTTGTGAAAGGATTATTCTCGCACGTTCTCTACCATACATATGTATACGAAATTATTATTTGCGATGTAAAGAAATCAAAACAGAATGTTTACAATCTGAAAGTTTGTTGAGGATAGTGTGATAGAAAACGTGTGAATTTATGGAAGTTAAGTAATGAAGTTAATCACGTGAGTCTGTAATCCCATGAATTTCGAGTGGTTCAAGGACTTCTAGCGTGTAACAATATTTACATAATTCTAGAATATAGTTATCAGGGTGCTTCTAAATTATGTAATAAAATTTATACGGATATTTTACTATGAAAGTGTATAGGTAGTGGTCGAAACAAAGTTCCAAAGACTCGAGGGTAACGAACTTAATCATCAACTGTGTGCAAATTAACTGGAATTCGTAAGCGATCAATTCTGAGAGCCTTTTTAAGAGTATATTGACGTATATAATTATTAACTAATTCATACACGTATCTTATGAAGTAACGAAAATTCGGAACGATTACTCGGTAAAAGTGTGCAATAATAAGAAAATATGTCTTTCACGTTAATACTAGGAATAGATGCAGAAATTATCTAGGATGAAAAAGATATCGCAACTCTTTGTTGATAGAAATACTAAAATTGTTGTTGTTTTAAATATCGTTGAAGCTTTCGATCAACGAGCATCACGTAACGCGAATGCAGGAAAATAAAAGCGCGAAATTATTTACAGAAGGTCCTCGTATCTCATATTGCATTTTCTGGTATAATTGTATAACGAAGTCAATTGAGATATACATATTTCTTATATGCAGTCGTCGTTGTGGCTCGAGGACAACTTCCATTTCGAATTACCATGTTTTAATTGAAGCACTTTGTTTTAATGGAATTCGTGTCCGCGCACATTGGTCGTAACATACGAAAAGCGTATTTTATAATTTTGAACTTCTTACTAGATTTTGCGATTGTAACATTCGATAAGTAACGATATTGAATTCATTGTAATTTACACGAATAAGTAGAATTTTCAAACTGTACTTCTTGCGAACCCAATTATATGATAAAACGTTCTGGTGAATTGTAAATAAATCCTTTGAGCAGAGCCAACACATTGAAACCAATTGGATATTTATGGAAGCCACCACTGCACGTTACCTCATAATAGATAAACGAAATTCAAAGGTAACGAACATCGTTAGTTAGTAGTTATTTATCGATACTTAACTATTAACATGATATTTGTACGTCGTAGATACGCTATAGTTAGGGATAATACGACAATAAACATGAAGACGATGTATAATAATTTAATACTCATAGTCGAAATTGTCTGACTTCAATACACACCATAATATGTATTATAAGTACATCAATAATTGTTACGCGAGGTGGTTGAATCATTTCAACAATATGTTCATCTGAAAATAATTTGGAACGAATTGTATCAAGAAATCAAATCGTAATTAAACTTCTCGTATTTAAAAAGGCGGGTTTAGTAAACTCTATTGTTCGACAAATAAATTATTCAATAAAAGATAACAATAACAACACTATGTATTGTAAAATTTGCTTCGAAATGCAAAATATTATTTGGAACAATCTCATTATAACAATTTCAATCTCTAAATATGATAGTCACCGTTACCAAAATATCGGCCATACCATGTGCAATAACTTATCAACACAACAAGTGTTAGTTGCAGGCTTAAGCTACAAACACAACACGGCAATCATTGTTATTTTCGAGCACACTGTTTTGCAGCATTGCGGCAGTACGTGCACGCACAAGTAGAACTAACACGTTACAAATGTCCAGAGATTAGTTTAAAAGTTAGTAACGGCTTATAAATATTAATAACCGTGGCAGTGTATCTCGAAGAACGTGCGATTCGTAATGCGATATTGTTGGGACATGTGCGATTTTTGGCACATTGGTGATGCTCGGACAGCTCGATCGACACTAACTCAATGCGAAACATGAAGAAGGTGTTCAAATAATCGAAATCGTTTTGAACTTTTGTAAAAATAGAAATCCCCACAGTAATGGTCGTTGTGGCGCCCGAAATTGTTAAATTGTAGCTTAGTTTTAAGTTGTAGAGGTAACATGAAGCGAAACTGCGGATCTAATAATAAAACGCTCGAAAATGGCGTTATTATTATATACAAATGTATCATATCTTTATTACTTTATTAACATATTGTCGTTACACGTAAGAAATAAATATGGCAATTCAAAAAAAGTATTGTCATCTTCAAAATGCAATATAATATTTTTTTTTAATGAACATATTTTTAATCACCTAACATATACTACCCTAACATATGCTACGAGGAATTTGTAACAATTACAGGAAAACCATTCGCGTATTATTTTAAACTGTAAACGATGCAGTTTCAAACTCTGTTAGGAAAACATAAACGATCGTTGTTCTGTTTTATATGAATCACATCAGAGTCAAAGTATTCATTTTATAACTCAGAACTTTATGAATATAAATTCTTTACTATCTTATTTAAATATTTATCCTGTTATATTACACAAAAGCGAAGACACCAACTATTTTATAGTGTGACGCGATGTAAAATGATAAGGTAACAACAATAAATTTTCTAAGCGGTTAACAAAATTTAACTTATTCCAAATACATTTTTCAATCAATTATATTGTTTACTGCATATTGTTTATTGTCGTATCTGCACAGATGTATACATATAGCACTATAGTCGATATAACATAATCATAATCATATACAGAATACACATAACCATAAACAGAATCATACTTTGAGGACAGAAGGATTTTTACATCCAGGATCATTTCAAGTATTTTATAAATAATAACAAAATGAGTGACTCAAATTTATATCGAATTGTATACAGGGTGTTCCACAATTATTTTAACAGCCTTGACATAGCCTTGACATAACCTTGACATGACCTTGACATATCAAGGTTATATGAAGGTTAATATCAAGGTTATGTCAAGGTTATTGATAATATTCTCCATATTTCTCTAACAAACATATCTCTTACGTCCTTTAACACGATTATTATTTATTAAATTAGCTTTGCGAATCATTCGTTGAACTGTGTTCGGACACGGAATTATTTAAATTAAAATATCATTTACGTACTTTGTTAATCTTCACTGTACACCTTGCTTAAAAATTTCATATGCTGACCCTGACATAACCTTCATATAACCTTGACATATCAAGGTTATTTGAAGGTTAATATCAAGGTTATGTCAAGGTTATATGAAGGTTAATATCAAGGTTATGTCAAGGTTATGTCAAGGTTATTGCTAATATTTTTCATATTTCTCTAACAAACATATCCCTTTCGTCCTTTAACACGATTATTATTTATTAAATTAGCTTTGCGAATCATTCGTTGAACTGTGTTCGGACACGGAATTATTTAAATTAAAATATCATTTACATACTTTGTTACGGAATTATTTATAAATTAAAATATCATTTAAAATATATTCACTATACACCTTGCTTAAAAATTTCATATGTTACACACAAGGTGTGTCGTCACGGTTAAATTACTTACTATATCGGGTCCGAAAAATTAGTAAATATTCTTCAGACGCTCTAAAGTAAAGGTGAACAGCGTTTTTCTTAAAAATATCACTGTTACGTAGTAAAAAAAAATTCGGAAAGTTCTCGCTTCGTGATTTGTTCAATACTTCGAACGCGGCTCGAGTCCGTCCCGACCATCTGTCAAAGCCTCGTGCTGCGGGCTCTCGAACTTCGCGCCGTCACCTCTCATTGGTCAGTGTTTTCCGTTAATAACTCGTAAACAAAGCCGCAGATTACATTTTCGCAAAGGAAAAAGTTACTTTAAATAACCTCACTTACCCCTCATTTTCGGCTGTTAAAATAATTGTGGAACACCCTGTATAACACAGACTAAGGTGTACGTTGTTTATTGAAATTACAATTTTCGCTAATTATCAAATAGAATTATATATAATTTTTGTATTTTTACTAATTAAGAAAATCCATTTTGAATTATCGTATATGGAAGAACGAACAAATATTGAAATACCTATACACACACGCAACATTTTTAACCATATCGTACTTATAGTTTAATAAATTCTCATTTAAATGTGTTACACATTTGTATTACGTTACTAATCATTTAAATATTAATACGAGCATAAGTTTCAAATGAACAAAATTATCCTATACTAAGAATCTTGCTAACGTGAGATAAGATTATAAATATACTTATATTAAAGTTTAATCTTGTTATACAAATCGATGATTTCAAATCTTTCAAAATGACAATCGGTAATTATAAAAACGAGCCGCAAAGCTCGAATAATCCACTTCTCAAATTGACTATTTTTGTGTCCAAGCTGAGCGTCAATCAGGGAGAATTTACTATAGTTCTCTGACTGTGTCAAGGAGAACAGAAATTTTCTATTTGAACTATACCCCTGGATTGCCTGCAAGAAATGCGGTTTAAGTGTTCCTTCGTATAGTGTAAGAAATGTCTAAATGTTTTCTCTATAGCAAATCACCTTTTTTATAAGAAGTTCATTTGAAAGTTAAAGAGACAAGAAGACGTGCATAGTCGCCGAGTCCTCCATTTTAAGTAGTCTGTCGCCACCAGATCGTATAGTTAGACGACCGCATATCTTCTATTCAGGATTATCTACGTGTAAGTGGAACATGGAAACAAAGTCTATAAATTTATAAAGGTTGCAGCTCATTACACTAATAACGTGATTATTTACCATATTTCAGAGTTATTTAATATTTAGCGAATATAATCAGTGCTTACTATTTCGTCAATCAATTATCAAAGTTTGCATATTTTACTTAATTCTCTATCTTCACGATTTTCTTTTAAGTGAATTCGAATGAATAGCAAAATGAAAGGCAATTCTACTTTTGCATCGTATATTTTGATTTCACACGACGCATGCCTTTTCTGTTTGAATTCAATTCCGTGAATCTGCGTATACAGTGACATGGGTGATCGAATAATAGAACAGTTACTTAGTTACACTGCTAGATTTAATCCTTATTGATTTGTACAGTAAATCATTTTGCATATGTATTACCTTAAATTGAGTTGCTTACACATGGAAAGTATTCAGATAACAGATGATTTTGATCATGGAGGACCGGATAATTGAGGTTCTACTGTATTTTCACGAAATACTTATCGCGAAAATATTTTGCGTTAGTTTGAATCTGACAGATAAGTGCGAATTTTTGGTACTAAACGTTTATTGCAATATTAAACGAAAACTAATACAAAACGAAAATATGCAATAAATAATAGATGTTTACAATAACTCTGAACGAGAAATTAATTCTGAGATTTTCATATGATTTTTGTTTAAAAATAACTTATTGTTCGTATCGGTTTGTTTCAACTAGGAAATTCTTTTATTATTCCATACATTATCATTTCTTTTCCTTAATGAAACAATGTTAGGGTATAGGTCACTGGGATTGTGTCTACAAGCTATTCAATCAAACCGTTAAAGCAACTTACAGAATTTTGTTCAAACAAATGGTAAATTTTTCTGGATGGTAGATTATTTCTAGAAACAATCTGCTATTTCAAATGATAAATCCTGTATATTTTATCATTATTTACCGAAAATTGCATTTGTATAATATTTTTGTTTTTATGTGACCCATTATATCCTCAAAGGAAGTATGTGTATCAGATATACTACGATTAATTATTACCCATACGACAGAGATTGTATAGCTCATCTCACATTTGGAAAGTAAGTATAAATATTCTATCTTATTGTGAACATAAATAATAATCTGTATATAAGGGTAATTATTTCTTCGTATTGTACATTGGTTTTAATTGCGCGCACCTTAAGCCCAATTATCAGAACCTACCTTCGTTAAGATTTTATAGGTCTATCTAGATGGTAACACAGGTTTTATAGTACCTACGATAAACATTAAATTTGCGAAACGAAGACAATGGAATACTAGCAAAACCATTGAAAACGTGAATGTGGTAACTCATACAAATTATTTAGTAGTAGTAATCTAAACGTGCAAAATGATCTTATTTTTCAAGCATAACATTCTTATTTATCATTTGATATTAAAAATTTGTATCTTGAAACACAATGATTTTCAAAAATACATTACTTAATTTCTTTACTGAGATCATATCGAGTTACACCAACTAATGCACTGACATTTGAACGGCGGCCCTTTTTGTCAAAAACACAACTGACATTGTTTTCTTCCAAAATATTTTTTAAAGTACACCTTTCAGACATGTCAGCTTTCCTCAAGATCTTCATGAAACACGTGAAATTTTAAATTAATGGTTAATAACCAGATAGCCAAATAACATTATTTATACTCTGGGTCCAATTGGACCAGAGCCCAGCGACCCGAGTGTTAAAAGACATGACTTCGTTGAAAAAAATGAAGTTAGCCTGTACAAGTTCTTTACGCCCCTTTAAATTCACTTGATTTTTATTTGCAAGAATTTTCACTTTGTATATTAATACTCGAACTATTTGGACCCAAAGAATGAATATTGAAATATGAGTGCCTATCTAATTTTTGTCAATTACATTCAAATTTTGACATGTCCCATTTTAGGTTTATAGAAAAACTAAAGTGTCTAAAAGAGCCTTAAAAAATATGTGGAAAAAATTGATAAATAAAATTATAAATGATCCCATAAAGCCTCCGCCGATGAATTGCCAAGAACAGCACAAAAGACAAAATAGATAATAATCAAATAAGACATCATGTATATTACAATAATCTTATTCCAAACGCATTTGGTTTTGTTACAGTGATCTTATCTACAAGGACCCAATGGTATTTTTGAACAGAGGTATGCAGGTGCAAGAAATTAGGCAATACTGTACACAAAATGTCGGCTAATGCGGGAAAGGTCAAGTTTTTATTTCAGACATGACCCAACTGATCTCGGTATCCGTTTGACGAGGAGAGTAAACGAGATAGAACGGATGTGTGACCAAGATGGAGCAACAATAAGCCAGTTGCGATCTACCTACCACAGCCGGTAGACAGATATCAAGAGCAATAAGGCAGAGGAGTCGTGGAATGACTCATCGACAAACAAAAATTAATTGACCTTTTCTCACTATATTTTCACAGAAATAATGTCAACAACTAGCCGAGATTATGCTAACGAAAACGGATCGAAATGACGCATCGTATACTAATCTAAACGTTTCTGTATCTGAAAAAAGCTGAATAAACTTGCGTTTGAATTGATTTTCAAAGTGGAAACGTTTGCCACGGATTAGAAGGAGTCCGATAAATCCATGTGTTAGAAAATCTAAAACTCTAATTTTGGTTAGCGGATGAGTCATCCTAAGCGTCGGGCTTATCACTCTCAGCAACCAGCTGCCGGTCGCACGTGATGGAAGGGCGCTGGAGCGGATTAAGCAAAAATGGTGGTGGGGATGTCTGCGCGAGCACTAATCCGTGGTGGGAAGGGCGCACTAGTCCGTGGAGTGCCGTGAACGGCATACCGTCTGAAATTTCTGTATCCGCTATTTCGATTTCACTTGGCGTTTTCACACGGCCATCCGTCGTGTGCTCGTTTTCCTCTGAAAACAGAGATAATGACCGCCCGACTTGATATCGAAAAGCATTGTTCGATGCAAGGGTACGATTTTGAATAGCTCTTTACGGACATTGGACGGCACCGCGTCTGGCAAAGAGGTGCCCATCATTTATCGCGCGATGTCTGCTGAACGTAACGGCTCGTACATTGTCCTCTCGTTGCAACAGCGTTTGGAAGTCCTACGGAAACTGGAGTACGCTGTCCCGATAAGTCAACTTGCAACGGAATACGGAGTCAGCATCGCGACCATTCATCGCATCAAAAGGAACGGGATCCAGCTGCAGCAGAATTCGGAGACATCCGGGAAAATCAGAAAGAGGATGAGGAAGCCGGTGCTGCACGAGCTGGACGATCGGTTGTACGCATGGTACTTGCAACAGCTGATGATCTGCCCTCGCATCACGGACGCGCAATTCCATAGGAAAGCGTTGGAGCTGAATAAACAATTTGCTGGCCCGTCGACGTTCACAGCGAACAAGGGCTGGATATGGCGTTTCAAGAAACGCCACGGTATAGCGATCACGAAGATCGTTGCCGCGAACGATGAAGCGGACGTTGCCACAAAGGCTGAGGAATTGTTTGTCCAGGGCCTCCTATGGCGTATCGAGGAGGAGAACATACAGCTCGAACACATCTACAACATGGATGAGATGAGACTGATGTGGAAGACGCTGCCTTCGAGGCTACTGGCCCACACTGGCGATAAAAATATACTGAACAACATCCAAGCAGATAGAGTCACCGTGGGACTTTGCGCTAATGTTACCGGCACGCACAAGCTTCCGCCATTGTTCATCCACGGGTGTGAAAAGCCACGGGCCCTGAAGCATTTGAATCAAGAGGAATTACCGGTCGTCTACAAGAGCCAGAAGAACGCTTGGATAGACAAAGTCGTGTACGACGACTGGCTAGAGAACCACTTCAAACCAGCTGTAAGAAGGCGCCAGTTGGAAAGCGGATGCCACGGTAAAGTGCTACTACTGATCGACAGGAATGATGCTCACATTCTAGCGAAACCGCTGAACATAAAGGAGGAGAAGGACGATATAGAAGTTGTGCTTCTTCCCGCGGACACGAGATCGACCTTAAACCCAATGGGACAGGGGATAATGGAGAAGGTGAAGATATTCTTTCGCCATTTGATGCTGAAGAAGATTTCAGAGTTTCCTTATGGAGTCGCTCAATTCTATTCGGACTACGATCTGAAGGATTGTATCGATATGGTAACCGAGGCGTGGAAGGACCTACCGCGGATCACTATCCGTGATTCGTGGCAGAAAATTTTAGGAAACAGAGTGAAAGAAGAGATCGTTGTGAAGGAGGAAACGTGCGGCTCCAAAGCAAGTATTGCTAGTATCAAAAATATAGTTAGCGCGATAGTTGGGACCACGACTGGTCAACGAGAGATCGAAGATTGGCTTTCGTCGTGTGAGAAAGGGGAGGGAGATCCGGTCATCAAGTGCGAGAAGAACTGTCCGGATCAAAAGATTCCTTCTTATCTGGAAGAAGAGGAAGTGGAACGAACGTTTTCAAATCTACTGCTTTGGTCGTTAAATCAGCCAGAGTTTATTAAATTGCAGATACAGGTTCTAAAAAAATATTACGAAGAAGTGCAAAAACAAAGTAGTCTTTGAAGTAGTTTTTGAATAGTCTATTATTCTTCGACCAATCTTCTTGATTAATTGATAATTCATTTGAATTTACTAATTTATTTGCTAAGAGACAACACGATCGAGTTAAATTTTTTTAAAATAACATTTTCATATGGAGGTTAATTGTTTTCCTGTACTTTGTTATTTAATTTGATCAGTATACGTTAAGAGTTAAAATTTATTTTGCTCGAGATTTAACTGAGAATTTATGTTCTGCAAGCATATACAGTAATGTGTATGGGGCATTAAAAATGCATGTGTATATACTAAA